CCGGGTGTGGCAGCACATGCCTGGAATCCCGGCACTGAAAAGGCAGAGACAGGCTGGGCTCCCTGGCTAGCAAACCTCGCTGAATCAGTGAGCCCCAGGCCCCGAGGAGAGAGCCTTGTCACAAAAACCAAGGTAGACATATCTGAGGAATGACATCTAAGGTTGACCCCTGACCTGCATGAGTACCCATACATACATCACATACCCAAAATAGCCTCCAAACGATTGGGTCTCCGAGTGATGGACAGGATGACATCATAGCACATTACTGAATGTTTACTCATCTCCATAACATAGGGACAATACGAGTGACAAAAGCTACAATGTTATGGAGGGCTCTTCCAAGTGCGTTGGATCTATTAACCTCCATAATCTCCCAGGCAACCATTAAGAAAGGTTCTTCTGCTGTCTGCTGTTTGGGACTGCAGAATTACACGCTGAGATCAAGTGAGTGTTTGAAGGACTCAGGGCAGGCAAGGCAACGGAGCATGTGCAGGTCATTGCCTGCACTTTTTCCATTCTACCAAGGGCTTTTTATCTTCCCTTCCTTTCTACAAGGCCTGTGGGAGCAGAGAAGGGGGAGATGGGTCTCAGGCTGCCCTAGATCTGATAAAATCTGACGAAGCCACGGAGCACAAAGACCGAGCTCTGGCCTTCCTAGTGTCACACCGCCTTTGTACCCAGCTTCTCAGTCTAGAAACCTGCACATCCTGGGGTCGCTGCACCCAAACATTTGCCCAGTGTCTGTTTGGTCACTTAGGTCCAGGCTCAGGTCTAGCTCTCCTGGTTCTTCCTCCCATCTGTCCCCCCAGGTCACCACAAATACCTGCCTTAGGCTGTCAGATCCAGTTGACTTCTTAAGGCAGTGGCTGCAGCAGCAAGAGAAAACCACTTCCAGCCAAAGCAGCCGGACCGGTTCAATTAGAAAGAAGTCACAGCCTCTCCCCATTCAAAATGGGGGAGAAGCCTGAGGGTGGCTTTTCAAACAAAAGGCCCAGGTAAGTCCAGGAGGAGGACCAAGGAACCAACCTCTGGGATGTCCCCTAGCATTGCATCCCAGTCTGGCCATCGTAAAGGGGGTGCCTGAACACAGACACTCACAGAAGAGGGGTCCCTGCCTGATCAGACAGCATGGGTTACATGATACTCTACTTTTTCACAAGTGTCAGCCTCATGGCTGCAGGCACTTCCTGTTTCAAGAGAGGAAACCAAATCAGAAAGCTGAAGGTGCTAATGCAGGTGGCTGCTTGGTCCCAGAGGAATGGAAAAGAGTCATAGCTCCTCACGACTGCGACAGCAGCGCATCCTGGATGGACCTTCCAGTCTTCACTTCCTTTTCCGGATAACATCATTTCTTCTCATTTTTTTTTTTTTGAGACAGGGTTTCATTGTGTGACCCTGGCTATCCTGGAACTAGCTCTACTAGCTGGCCTCAGATTCACAGAGAACTGCCTGCCTATGCCTCCTGAGTTTTGGGCTTACAGCTCCACACATCAGTACTTGGCTTAAAAAAACAAAACAAAACAACCTTTCTCCTATTGTCAGGCCCTTGATGGCCTCTGCTAATAGGGCCCTACATTTACTAGCAATGGTGCCTGGCCTTGCACTAAGAGGCATACAATTTGGCCTCACCCTCAAATCACTTAAGTTTTAGGAGACAGTGCAGAACCGAGGAATGTTCTCACTCCTAAAAACTCCCTTCCTCGGCAGCCAGACTGCCCAGCGTCCCAGGGACACCCACTCACTTCGCACCTTTGTTATCTGCGCTCACGTTGTTCCATCTGCTCCTTCTGCTTCAGGAACCCACCCACAGGCAACCCACACAGCAGCGCCCAGCTTCGGCATCCCCTGCCTGATGGAGTCCACAGGGACCTCTCCCTCTCTAACCTCCATTAGCAACAGCAACTCTCATAGAGTCCCTCACATCTCATTGGCTGCCCCAGGCACATCTTACATGGAGAAGGACTATAAGACCTTTAGTGGGAACAATAACTGTAGTCAACCCCTTCTGTCTAAAGAGTGCTTTACCAAGTACCTTCAGATGTTATCTAATTTTGGCAAAAGCTCTTTATTGCCCATGCCTTGCTTCCTCAACTAGATTAGAGACATCTGTGGGCAGCAAAGGGTAGACTGTGATGTCACTAGAATGCCTAGCATGGTCCATCATGGGAATACATTACATTAACAGATGAGACAGTCTTTTCAGGAAAGAGCAGGACCATTAATGCTCTGGCTGCCCTGCTCCCCACCAACCCTGGCCTGGAAGCACAGCTGCACAGAAAGGAAAATGGCTGGCACAGACCTAGCTTCAGGGTTGAAAGGTGGAGAGGACACCGGTGCCTCAGTCGCCCTGGCTGGCTCTCTCATGGAACCTTTCCGGCTCTTATGTGGAATATACAGGAAATTATCACAGAGCCAGCCAAGGTGATACCAACATGGGCCAAGAATCTGAACTCTTGTCTTGGCAGCAATCAGTGGACGGCCTTGTTTTCTGCATTCGTGAGACAAACAAATGAGGAAAGATGCCCAGATCAACGTCCAGGATGGAATCCCCCAGTTATGAATCTGAGCTGGTGCTCCCATTTCCTCTGCTCTTTGATTTGTCTTCTGGCTGCCCCTTCCTTGGGAAACTTTCCAAATCACCCAAGGAAACAGCTTCTCTGGGCCATCCAATTCTTTCCCTTCAGTGTAGCTAATGCTGGAAAACGTGGCCAAGATGGAGAGAAGCACATGCCCTCCATCAGCTTTAAATAAAAAAGCTCTTAAGAAACCTGGTGGGACAGACCTGAAGGGCTGGCGTGAAGGATGACAGATTTCTTTGTCTTCTGTGGACTTCACATTCTAAGGTGTCTGCGCACCATGTGGAAAGGGGTACCTGGTCATCTTCTGATGGCAGAGAACAGACTCCAGGAATAGGTTTTAGGCCAATATGCCAAGGCTGGGATCGCAATGCTACAGAAGCATACCAAGCAACTCACTGATTCGCCACTGCCCCTGAAGTAGTGTGCTCCAGAGGGTTTCTGGGGAGAGCCCTAGCAGCTGGAAGAAGATGGCTGAGGGAGGTTAGGAGGCAGAAAGACAGAGCTAATGGTTAGAGGTGTGGGGCGAAGGATGGTTCTCTTTCATGGAAAACACTGCCTCTGCGGGGCCATTTGGTATTTCAGAAACAGGTCCCTTCATTCCTCTGCTGAAGAAGGGGGCACATGTCTCCTGGGGGAAGCGAACCCCTCACACACTAGGCAGGAGTCCCAAGATCTTCTGTAGTCATGGGAACCAATCAAGCCCTCAAAGGGAAAACTCCAGGTCACTCTTAGGACTTGTAACCATGACTCCAGGCTGCAAAGTACTGCTCTTTAGGCAAAACCCAGGCACACATTTTCTCCCAAGCCTTGGCTCATTGCAGACAGTTCCACAGCTCCTAGCCTCTGAGCCCTGTCAAGGATAGTCAGGGCAAGTTTCCATAGAAGTAACCTGTTGCCCTTTGTCCCCAAGCCTGCAAGCTCTCTCATATCCCATCTGGTTCCTCAGCCACTCCCTGTCTCACTCCCATGACTCTCCCCAACACCTGCTGCATCCCCAAAGGCACCAGAGCGTCAGGCAACCCTCTCTCAGGCAAGGCTCACTGTCTGTCCCTTTCCCGTCTCTTGAAAAATGGTTCTTATTCAAACAGTGGCCCAACTCAAGCTCCTGGATCTCTTAGGAGCTGGCTTTAGTGCCCCAGAGAAATATGGACAAGTTTTGTTCTCTGGCTCCAAGTGACTCAAAGAGCAAAGCACATAAGGAGACCCTGGGAGCTCAATGAGAAGGACAACCAGCACTCAACCAGTGTCCCACTCAAGCTAAGTGCTTTACAAGCATTCATTCATTTAATCTGTACAGCACCTCGGGAAGGGCTCACTATTAGACCCATTCCACAGACGAGACACTGAGATCAGAAGTGTAAGACATAGGCAAGGCTATCCCAAAGGGAGGTCTCCAGGGATGCCTGACCATGCTAGCCTCTTACCCACAAACAGAGCTCTCTGCTCCTGACTGCAATTACCCTCACCTCGGCAAGGAGTGTGTTGGGGGAGGAGTGTGAAGGGGAGAGAGAACCCTTAAGAGGAAGCTGAGAGCTGGAGCCCTCCCTGAAGGCAGCAAGGCTCCTAGGGATGATCAGGCAGGCAGGTTGTTTCTGCAGGAGCTACGGGAAGCCTACCTCAGAGCTGGCACCCTGGAATCAGATATGGGTGGAATCCTTCTGGAAGAGAGGGCCTTCTTCGCTTGCCCATGAAGGAGAGACCACTGACTCACACTCACAATAGTGACCCTCCTGGCCTTGCCAGGGTGTCACCAGGCCTTTGTCCCCGTATAAGGTTTGTCCTGGCTACCTGCTGACCCCCTGGTCTGCATGAACATTCCCGATCTACCTTTACCCTTCTTCCAAACAGCCGCTAGCTTTCATTTTTATTTTTTCCTCTTGAATAGTTGTATCTCTACCGTCTTCCAGGTGTCGTATGGCTTTACCTTCACAACAACCCTGGAAACTCTGTTCCTCCGACCAGTGTTTCCCTCTGTGCACTCCCATCCTGGCTCCACATCGACTCGCCCCCAAGGGTACTTCACTGACTGGTCCCCACCCCAACTCCCTTTTCCTCCCCTCTTCATCTGGAGCTGTGGGTATATCACTTCGTTGGCTGAGTCTCGCTGCCCCAGCTCGAGGTACCCTGGCCTACACCCGCACCTATCTGTCTTCTCATGTTGGATGGGAAGGCTCTCCAGCCCGAAGGCTGAACTCCCACTCCTAGTTTCTGACTGCAGGCAGCATGTACCCCTCACCTGCAGGAACCGAGGCTCAGAGCCCCAGTCGGGGGACCTCTCACCCCTAGGTGGACTCCCTCTCCCTGGCCTCCCGTGTCACCGCCTGTACCTTGAGGGTCGCATAGTCCCTCCCGGGCTGGGGATGAAGAAGCAGACAGCCAGAGGGGAGGATGGGGCGCCCTCGGGCCACCGCCCCTTACCGATGGTGGAGATGTGCGAGGAGTGGAACTCGTTGTCGGTGAAGCGGCACAGCAGGCAGGTCTTGCCCACCCCGGAGTCCCCAATTAGCAGCAGCCTGAACAGCACATCGTACTGCTTCGCCATGGCAGGGACTCTGGGGGCCCGCAGGTTTGCGGGCGGCGGCGGGCTCAACCCCGCTCAGCCTCTGCCATCGCGGCCGGAGCTCAGGACGCCGCGGCGGCGAGAAGGAAGCGGCCCGGCCCCGGCGCTGGCCTCGCCCGCTCGCTCGCAGGAGCGGGGAAGCGCGGCTGCGGCGGGAGCGCGGCGCGGGGAAGCTCGCGCTGGAGGGTGGTGGGAGGGGACAGCCGCGGCTGCCGCCCCTGTCCGTCCCTCCGCCCGTCCCCTGCGCCGCCGCCGCAGCGGGAGAGGGGGAAGGGAGCGGCGGGAACCCCGCTGTTGACTGGGGTGGGGTCCCCGCTCGGCTCCCAAGCCCTAGGGTGCCGGGATCCGACCAGGGTTGGGGAGGGAAACGTTTGCGTCTTTACGCCCACGATCTGAGTGGTGGAGTTGAGATAAGCGCTCACCCAACCCTCCCGGCCAACCTTGACTTCCCCGTCCCAACGCTACTCCTTGAATCCCACCCCAAGCCTGATTTCAGTCACTCCGCCCCATCTGGCACTGGCCCCTGTAGCGGCCTGGCTCAGCTTATCAGTGGCAGGTCCTCACCTGGGCTCACCCAAGGCTCGAAGGCCTTCATCAGGGTCTGGATTGGAACGCCCTTCCCTCCACCAACACTCCAGTGTGTTGAGGAATTTTCTCATTGCCATCTGGCCTCCCCACAAGACACTGACTTGTGTCACGACATCCCACACCCCCTTATTCTGTTTTAAACGGGGGGGGGCACCCGCTGACCCCTTTCAATATATCAGGGTAGACAAATTATCACTTTTTTAAAAATCCTAATGCAAAGTTATTTGGAGAAGATTCCTACAAAGTCTTCTTTGGGTTTAAATTACTAGGATGAATTCTCAGATTACTAAATATTTCTTCTGTACACAAATGATACCCAAGAATGAATGGTCCTCTCCAGAGACCAAGTTTACTACTGCCAGATGTGTTAGCACCCAAGAGGAAAAATCAATCCTTTCTGGAATTCAGAAAACCACCTGATGTTAAGAACTAGTATTAGGAGAGAGGAAGTCTAGTCTAGTGGGTCTTTCACAAGCAATGACTGTTGTGGGGAGGGGGAGGGAGAGAAAATGTGTGTGTGTTTTTCAGAGAGAATATTGGATGGAAAACGGATTTCTCTGTAGTAGATCAGGGAAAATGGTAAGCTTATTGTCTTCAAATGAACTATATTTCAAGTAAAGTGCCTAAATGTGTACTTAAGAGGGGGAAACCCGGGGCTGGAGAGATGGCTCAGCAGTTAAGAACACTGAGTGTTCTTCCAGAGGTCCTGAGTTCAATTCCTGCCAACCACATGGTGGCTCACGACCACCTTGAATGAGATCTGGTGACCTCCACTGGCCTGCAGGCAGAGGACTGCATACATAATAAATAATAAAATAACTTTAAAAAAAAGAGGGGGAACCCTAAACCAAATCATAAACCTGATCACTACTTTGATCTTAAGGAACAGATCCCAGAGCAGCCATTAAGACCCACGGGTATGGGGCTGGAGCCAGGGCTCAGTGGTTGCTCTTCCAGAGATTTCTCAATATAGCACAGGGCACCCACATGGCTGCTTATAATAGGCTTCTTAACTCAAGTTCCAGTCTCTGCAGGTACCAGGAATGTGTGTGATGCACAGATAGGCATTCAGACAAAACACCCACACACATAAAATAAAGTTCAAAAATAAATAAATGTGATAATTTAAAAAAGGTTTCACAGGTGCGTTTCTCTTCATTGAGATTTCTTTGGGTTTCAGGGGCCTTCTGGGGGCCCTGAGTTGAGACACATGAGTTCTCCCAGGTGCCCTACTCAGCAACCTTGAAACTTTGATTCTCACTTTCCTCAAGGTAACAATCTTATAGGACTGTTAAAAATAAGGTGGCCTACTGTAGAAAGGACTTTGTTTAGCATGGTCCTTGACTTAATAAATCCTGAGGTAGAAAAAACACCAGTGGTGTTTTCTTTTTGCTTCCCTGAGCTATAAAAATAGTCCTCAGATGATAGCTAGGGATACCGTTGCTGAACAGAGGCCTAACTTGCTGTTAGCTTTTTCCCCACTCACCAGTGCAAAGAGCACAGACCATAACTTGCTGGCAGCCCACCCTTTTAGGCACTGTGACTAAGTATACTTGCTGCCTGCTCTGGCAGAGGACTGGAATTTGGTTCTCAGGAACCACACTGGATGGCTCACAACTGCCTATAACTCCAACTCCAGTGGATCTGAAGCTCTCTGTTCTCTATAGGCACACACACACACACACACACACAAACACACACACGACTCACACATACATACATATGGATTAATAAATCTTTAAAAATGAAGGGAGCCAGCTGTAGTGGTGCACGTGTATAAACAACTGCTGAAAAGTATGAGGCAGGAGGTTTTCGAGATTGAAGTCGCTCTGGCCTATATATTTACTGAGTATGGTAGCACATGTTTATTACCTCAGCACTGAGGAGGTAGGGTCTGGAAGATCACTGTGACTTCAAGGCCAGTCTACTCGACATGTCACGTTCTAGCCAGAATAAACAGAGAAATCCTGGCTAAATAAATAAATAAGCAATAATTTAAAAAGGGCCAGTGAGATGATTCAGCGGGGAGAGAGGGAGGAGGGGAAGAGAAGAGGGAATGGTATTTGTCACCAAGCTTGATAGCCTGAGTTCAAACCCTGGATACCACAGGGTGGAAGGAGAGGAGCGACTCTAGCAAGATGTTCTTTTTTCTACACACACACACACACACACACACACACACACACACACACACACACACGAGGAGGAGAGGAAGAGGAGGAGAAGAAGAGGGAGAAGAAGGAGAAGAAGGAGAAGGAGAAGGAGAAGGAGAAGAAGAAGAAGAAGAAGAAAAAGAAGAAAAAGAAGAAAAAGAAGAAGAAGAAGAAGAAGAAGAAGAAGAAGAAGAAGAAGAAGAAGAAGAAGAAGAAGAAGAAGAAGAAGAAGATTGGGATGCATTGTGAGACCCTTTCTCAAAAAAGACAAAGCTAGAGAGATGAGTGAACTGGCCTAGACCAGCCAGCAATAGGCGTGTAGAGGGTCCCACAGGTGTGAGTTTGTATGGGTATGTTTGTAAAGTAAGATCATGATCCCTCAGGGCCCCACAGCAGTCCTGACGACCCCAGATTCCCACCCCTGGACCAGAGCTGTGAGTATCACGGGATGGAGGTGATGAGATGTTGAGACAATCTAGCAAAAATAGTTACAAAGACCACTGGAGGCAACAAAGTTGACTTTAACCATCACATAGCCCAGGCACACTGTGGGGCACTTTGATATCCTCCTCACTTGTATTCAGCTTGGATTGAGGAAGTTCCAGTGTAGCTGAAAGACATCAAAAGAACGATTGCTGAAATGATTGCCAATCCCATAAGCCTTCTAGAATCAGTCACTCAATTATACTGACTCATTTACCAGGAAGATAAGTCTCCAAGCTCACCCCACCCCACACCAGCTACACTGAGCATGCTCCCAAGGGCACCACTGTGGGATCTGCCATAGCAACAGCTGAATAGCTCCAGCGAGGCTCGGTGGGTAGCCCACCCACCACCGAGACAACACAGCTGGTCCACAGGCTCTTCATTAGCTTTGTTTGCAATGTCTCTTTCAGATTCATCCTCATGTGTCCCAGCTTTGTGACAGTGAGTGAGGTGCCCACCTTTCAGGAGGATTCTAGCTCAGAAATAGAAAAATTATGACTGACACCCCCTGTGCGCGCTACGGTGCACACACGGCCACTGTTTCAATACCGCCCCACCTCTACTTCCCTGTTTTCTTTAGGTGTGAAGGAGAAAGGGGGGAAACGAGGGCAGGGTGTCACATTGTAGTTCAGACTGGACTAGAACTTATGTAGTAACCGAGGCTGGCTCATAGCAATCTGTGTTGGAATTTCAGGTCTGATCCTGCAATGGGAAAAAGTGACTCTGAAACTGAAGAAGACAAGTTCTTAGAGATACAGAAAACTTAAGACTGGGAAGCAAAGGAAATAATTGCGGTGGTGATTTGTGCTGTTTCCAGTTGTCCTCGGTTTCCTGGCCACCGCTCTTAGGGCTGCTGTAGCAAAGTGCCACAGACTGAGTGGCTTAAAGAATGGATGTTTATTTTCTCACAATTCTGGAGGTGAGGACAAGGTTGTTTCTTCTGAGGCCTCTGTCTTTGCCTTGTAGATGGTATCTTTCTGTGCAGACAGCCTTCTGTATGAACCAGGGGGGCTGGTGAGAGGGCTTAGCAGGTGGAGACATTTGTCATGCAAGTCTGATAACCCAAGTTAATTCCCAGAATCCACACAAAAGTGGCAGGAGAGACCCAGCTCCACATAGGTTTTCTCTGACTTCCACACATGTGAATAGGCACATGTACACACATACACACATATACATTTAAAAATATATTAATGAAGATATAACAGCCATATTGAATTATACTAAGTATCATTCCCCTTCTCCCTGAAATGAGGTCTATATAAGTCTTGGCTGGCCTGGAGCTCACTATGTAGACTAGGCTGGCCTCAAACTCACAGAAACCTGCCTTCCTGGATTGGATTAGAGCTTGGATTAAAGATGTGCACCACCATGCCCCAGCATTAGCTACACTTTTAAAAGTCTGTATCTTCAGAAATTATAAACAAAGAAACCACAAACAAGGTTAAAACAAAAGCAGAGTTTCTTCTTCATCTTGTTTTGCAGTGTTGGGCATCAAAGCCAAGTACTAGGAAACCACTGAGCTAGACCCCAGGCCCAGAGGGCTTTATTTAGGTGCAGATTATATTTGCAAATCAGGAAACCCAGGCTTAGCTAGGCAGATCCAGTGTCTCCCAGAGGGAAGGTAAACCTGGGCTCTTCTTATCAAGTCCCACAGTTGGACCCCAAGATAAACTAGAGTTGGCATAAAATTCGTAAATACATTAGAATGCTTAGGTCAAGTGGCATCCAAACTGGTCCAGGTGGGGTTCTCAAACCTTTCAAGGTATTGTTAGATTCCAGAAAAATCATTCCTTCTAGCAGATTTGTTTCCTCGAGTGATAAAGATTCTTCCCCCTGTAAGGACATCTCTAAAGATTTCTTATATTTGTTGTTGCTGTTGTTTTGTTCTTTAAACCATC